AATAGAAAGTCTAGTTAAGGTTCTTATATTCTACCTTTAATTTAATAACTTTAATTTTTTATTAATTAGTAAAATTAAGTTATTTTTTACCTCCTTTTAGTACTAGTTTTTATTTTTTTTTAGGTTTCTTATATTTATTAATAAAATCTCCTGGTTTTTTATAGTTATAATATTTCTTTTCCTTTTTATTATTTTTCTTAGTAATATTAAGCTTTATTTATTTAGGGTTAAGAGTATAATTATAAGTAATAAGTTTATTATACTTTTTATATTAATTAACTTAATAATTCTTTCCTTTGGTAAGGCTTTAGGTTTTTTTACCTTATTTCTTTTATATGTGTTATTAATATTATTTATTATTAATTTATACCACTATAATAATATAATTTAATAAGTTATTTAGTTTATTCTCTTTATAAAGTTCATCTTTAACTTCTTCCTTAAGTCCTTTATAAAAAGCTAATATAAGAGGTTTATCCTCTTAATTAAGCTAAGATATAAGTTATTTAAAGTAAGTAGTATAATTAAATACTAATCCCTTTTACTTAAGCTTATTAATATAATACTTAATAGCTTTAACTTTATTAATTATTTTAAAGGCCTTTTTAATAGCTTTTTTAAATTTATTATAACTTTTAAAAATAATATTAGTTTCTTCTTTATAATTATCTTTTTCTTTATTAAGGTAATCCCTTATAATAAGTTTAAATTATATAAGTATTACTTTTATTATATATCCTCTTATATAAAATACCTTAATAAAGAATTCTTTTATTTTATTTAAGAATTATTAATAATAAGCCTTAAATTAAGTAAGGAATCCTTAAAGTATACCTAGGGATTTATTATATAATCTTAGTGCCTTAGGTCTAAGGATTTCTCTTAAGTTCTTTTTAATTATAATAGTAATTATGGCTTATTCTTATTATTCTTTTTTTATTTATTAAACTTATTCTTAAAAGTATATAATCTTAATAAGTATCTTATAAGTAAAAATAATTATTAATTCTTCTTAGGTTTTATTTAATTTAAATATAATAATAGACTTATATAGTACCATATTAATAATTATTAGGTATTACTTAAAGTAATATAGTAATAGTCTAAATAAGAGCTTTTAATGTATAATAACTTAGGTTCCTAAGGAATAAACTAATTATAATTTATATTAGTAAAGCTATTAAGGCAATTAATCTAAGTAATTAGGTATTATATTAATAATAGGTTATAAACCATAATTAAGTAATTAAAGTTAAAGAGTTATAAGTAAAGCTTATTTAATATAATAATTAGTATTAAAAGCTAAAAAATTAAAGTTTATCTATAAAGCGAATTTAAGGGTCCTTATATATTATAATTATTAATTATTATAAAGATAAGTATCCTTAATACTTACTTCTAAATACTAGTAAGTATTATATATACTTACTTATAATAACTAAGTATTCTTCCTATTAGTCTTATTATACTAACTAATATTCTATGGCCTATTATGCCTATACTGCCTGGCAGCTCTATACAGCCAGCCCAACCTGTAGCCTACGTGCTGGGTCGTAATACTAGTCCCTTATAATTAACTATAAAAGGGCCTAATAAGGCTAATAATACTAAGAGTAAAGCTACCTAATAAATTTATATTAGTAGTTTTACCTTTTCTAGAGGGGTAATAATTATATCTAATTAATTTAATAATAATATATAATTTTAAAAATAATATAT